AACTTTTTTTTTTTCAGTGGCCCCGCTACACACCGCTTCTGGAAAGAGTTGAAAGATTAGTTTTCTTTAAAATTGAATGATGTCCCCCCTTTTGCACTAAATGATGTCATTTTTTATATGGACCATCTTCCCCAGCCTGTTTCTGATACTATTAATATCCTCCTGCTGTTGGGTAAATATCAGATCCACTGTGAAAAATGGAGAAATTCTAAACCTACTTTTCATTGGTTTATTAATGACTTTAAAACCTATTTTTCTTCTCTTAAAAAGATTTTTTTTTAAATGACAAATATGCCAAAAAATTTAGACTTGATTTCTCCAAACATCTGCTATTTTAAGTGCATTCACCTTTTTGTTTTTATTATTTCTATGGTTCTGTGTTTGATTTAAATGTTTGCTGAGATAAATCCTGTTAGTTGTTTTTCTTTTATTGTAATTGATCTTTATCTGTTCATGTTCACCTTTGCCATCCTCTCTGAGAGTATTTTTTTCATGTAAATGTTTTTGACTCAATAAAAAAAATAAATTCTGTCCTGTGTTTCTTGTTCGTTATGCTTAAATGTAAAAATATCTTCTTTGAATATAAACCCTTTAAAAGATAGACGTAATGATCTTTTTCTTGTTTTTATTTTTGTATATGTTTGAGCCGTTCCATAAACGGGGCCCCAGGTCTAGCTCTTGCATTTAATAATTATTTCTAACTTGTATTTTCTCCTGAGAGCAACATTTCTTTTCAGACTTAGTCTGACATATTTATTGATTCATTTGAGCATAAAATAATTTTCACACAGTCACAGTAAGAAACATTACACTGCCACCTCTACATTTGAAAAATAAACATAACTTTCCTTTATCACGATAAGTTAAAAGATTAGTTTGGATTTTTCAAAATAGATTCAACTATATTATTTATTAAAAATGTTTTGTTTTTGCCTGAGTATCTTAAAGATAAGCTGGAGTGGAAGAAGCTTAATAGCAATTACTAAGAAATTAGATATGTTTGTTTTCATATAGGATGCATTTTTTTTTTTAATAAATCTTTATTTTTGCAGGTAATGTCTTTGTTAAAATACTTCATTTTCAAATGAGATCTGTATTAATAAACCAAAAAGAATAAAATTTTACAAACAAAGCAGCATTTAAAGTGTTTAAAAACATTTGACTCAATTAGTTAAGCTACAAAATGTGACTTAAATAAAGAACAAGTTGCATAAGAATATTCCCCCTTTTCCCAATAGAAATAATTTCAGATCATATAGAATATTTAGCTTATTTAGTAAAGCTGCTGTTACATTAAGAGTTTATAGTTTCACATTGTTATGTTTGGCACCATTTTGTTCAACTTTCCAAATGCATTAATTTCACAATCAGGAGTTTTAAAGTTTTAAACATATTCTAAAACGTTAAAAACAAACAAAGCTCCCGTGTTTGAACTCCTGCAATTTGAAAAAGATTAAGGAATAAATTAAATTAGAGAAAGTTACCATAAGCATAGTTGAAATATTAAACAAGGCCAATCTGTGGAATAAAAACACATAAAAGCAACCAGAAAGCAACGGTCCCTCTCAAACAGCATCTTTCCATTATTAAACATCTTGGTCAGCGTAACGTGTTGCGTCACAGACTCGGTGCAGATTTCTAAAATACATGGATGTGACTCATCGGGCTGTGAGGAGCATCCCTATGATCTATAGATCTGCTCCATATCAGGACTTCCTGAGGAGCTCCTCCTCAGCCGGAGCAAAGAGCAGAACACGCCGGCTAGCAGTGAAGGACGCCTCCGCCGATCAGCACCGGTTCCCCTGCAGCTCATGGACGGCTTTGATAACCTCAGCGCTTCGGAGAAGGCGGAAGCCTCGGAGCTCCAGAAGATGATCGCGATAGAGCAGCAGAAGGCCCAGTTCCAGGCTCAGGTTGGTGGACATGCAGAGGGCCGCGCTGCCCTCTGGGGATAAACCGCTGATTAATGACGGCTTAATGCGGCATCTTCAAGCGTTTCCACTCATTGACAAACCCTGTTAATAATGCTTTGATACTGTGTCATAGAATACTGACCCCTGCTGGACATTTAAAGACACTACAGGCAGCTGATGGGACAGAAGAAACTGAATGGATCAGTTAGTACCAGGGGCGGAGCTAGGAAATTTGGGGCCCTAGGCAAAGACAGGAGGGTGGGCTCTGAATGGAGAAGACAACACATAAAACAGACTCATTATAGAGATAGAGAAATGAGAAAAGAGACATACTTAATATAAAGGTTCTGATACATTTTAGCCAAAGGATTTTTATTCAAAAAATAATTAATCTCCACCAATAAAGAATAATTGTATTAACCTTACATATAAACAGGGTTTAATGGGGCCCCCAAGAACTTGGTGCCCTAGGCACCTGCCTAGTGTTGCCTAATGGTAAATCCCCCTCTTCTTTGCACAATCATATCATTTAAGTTATTAGGTTATATTGTATTATTTCATATCTATGTTTAAATTGAAAATATCTTTGATATTTTTAGATGCAGCCAATAAATAATGGAAACATTTATCATAAGGTGAACATTTAGGGGAAAATGTGAATGAGGATGCTGCAGGACGAGGATTTTAAATCATATTTTTTAAACAATAAGTACATTAAAAACAGTAAATAAACTAAGAGTCAATTTGAAATTAACTTTAATTCAGATGAGTTGAGTGATAACAGAGAGGAAAAGGATGACAAGGAGAAAATAAAAAACCTTCCCGTTCCTTTTAGGCTCCAACATTCTTGATCATTTCAATGACAAACCGCAAAAGATGAGAACATTTTTTCTAGCAGATGCATCATGTTGACAGATACGTATTTAAACCCTGTTTAGTGAGTCGGTCAGTTAGAAACCACTCATGTATCGGTCACATGACTTTCTGGAAACGACGCAGCGATTCACTCTATGGGCTCCATGGATGCACCAACGCTTCGCTGTAGCTGGACTCATCACTAGTACTAGATGAGCTTAAATGTCTGTTCGTCACTAAGACCTTGTGGGTGTGCCGATCTCTTCCAGGTGCATAACTTCACCGACGTTTGCTGGGATAAGTGCGTGGACAGCCCGGGCTCCAAGCTGGACTACCGGACAGAGACATGTCTGCAGAACTGTGTGGAGAGGTTCATCGACACCACCCTGAGCATCACCAACCGCTTCACACAGATGGTGCAGAAGGGCACCCACTGACCGTGGACCAGAGGAGGCAGTGGGAGCCTCCGGCTGCTGCAGGAGGCCTGGGATGAAGCCTCCTGTTTCTGGGATGAAGAACCACCGTCTGTGTTCTGATGGGAGATTTCTGCAGCCTGAAAAAGGCTCTGAAACCAGAGCTACTAAAACATATTAAAGTCTTTAAATATTGTGTATTTTTTTCCTTTCCAAGGTGAGAGAGGGAGATATAAAGTAAATATCAGGAAAACGTAGCAGTTTATTTGACAGTTGACTCTGACTGCAGCAGCAGAAACGGACACCTTTCAGTCATCCAGGAAACCCTAAACATCGAATTATTTCCTTCTATATTTATATACAAATGTAGACAGAAATAATTGCTAATTTTTAAATAAATGTATTGTAAATCAAAATTCAATCATTTAATGGTTTTAATATTCAAATCTTGTGTTGGATAAATAAAATTTGCATCTGCTTATTTCATTGTATTTTCATTTTATGGGTAAACTGAAGACCAAAGCTGTTCCGCCATGGCGTCTAAAAACAACTCCACTAATAATCCTTACCGTTTGGAACATAGATATAAATCACATAAATCTGTTTCACCAGCTGCCATTTTTTTTTTTTTTTACGGTTTTATTTAGGTCTTCAACTAACGATTATTTTGCTAATTGATTAATCTGTTGATTCTTTTATCGATTAATAATCAGAAAGCCAAAGATTCCTTAAAGAATATTTTTTACGAAATTTAACCAGGTGAAACTAAAAGTTCTGGATAGAGCAGATTTATAGACAGAAAAGTTTTTTGTTTTTTTTTAATCTTACATGCAAATTTTTTTTTTTTTACAATTTTGCTATAATTCCTGCTCTAAGTGGATCGCTCTGTCAGCTAAAATCAAGTCTCTATACTCCAGTTAGCGATTAAGTGATAACTAAATGATTTGAGGATTATTTAAAGAATTGATTAATCTGTTTGTTTCAGCCTTAGTTTTTATTTAATCTGTTGCATTGCCGTGGTTCTATTAGTAAAGATCATCAGGTACAGGATCCCTTAAAGG